AAACTGACAGTGTTGTTTATACTAAACGAAAATTAATAAATCCGATAACTGAAGATGAAAATACCGAATTAGAAGTTATTCAATCAGTTATTGAAAATCCAAATAAAAGTACAAGGGCGATGGCCAGAGAGATTGAAGTAAGCCAAAATAGTATATGCAGAATTCTTAAAAAATATCAATATTACCCATACCATATTCAAATGCATCAGCATTTGTATGGAACTGATTTTGAACGTAGGTTAGAATTTTGTTTATGGTTTCTAGACAAAATGGGAGCAGATCAACACTTTTTTGATAAAATTTTGTTCTGATGAATCTACTTTCCATAATAATGGACTCGTGAACCGACATAACTTTCACTATTATAATACGGAAAATCAACATGAATATAGATGTACTGATCGACAAAACCGATGGTCCCTTAATGTATATGGTGGAATAATAGGAGAACATAATGTGATAGCACCGTATTTTTTTAATGGCCATTTAAATGGACAAAAGTTTTTAAGATTTCTACGAAGAGACTTTTGGATACTTTCGCAAAATATTCCTTTAAATATTAGAAGAACAATGTTTCTGCAGCTAGACGGTGCTCCAGCACATTACATGCGTAACGTTAGAGAATATTTAGACAGAAAATTTCCCGGAAAGTGGATAGGTAGGGGTGGTGCTGTCAATTGGCCCCCTAGATCACCTGGGTTAACATCAATGGACTTTTTTTTTTGGGATATATTAAAAGTTTGGTTTATCAAACTCCACCTACAACCGCTGAAAACATGAAAACGCGTATTCGTAATGCGTTTGCAACAGTTACTCCAGAAATGCTAAGAAGACAAAACAAAATTTTGAACACAGAGTGAGGTTATGTATTGAAGAAAATGGACACCATTTTGAACATTTAATGTAAATTAATTTTTTTCTAGTGTGTTTTGTTCAACTTTATGTAATAAAGTGTAATTAGTTAATTTCAAGAATAGTGCATTTTCAAAAAAACCCAAATTAATCGAAAATTATAAAGGATAGGTATAGGGATTGTTTAATAAAGTAATATTATTTTTTTGATTAGAATTCAAAATTAAAGTAAAATACAGGGTGTCCCATTTAAGTTAAGAAAGTAATTACACAAACTATTATACAGCATTGACACTTCGTATTGCGAACACTCTGTAGATTAGTTTCAAATGGTAATTATTCTGATGTAAAGCATGGACACTTGACAATTAACTGCGATATTGTGTAATTCATGCGAGATTGTGTAATTAATTAATTTCGCGAATAGTACATTTTCAGAAAAACCCAAATAAATCGAAACCGGTCAAACATAGGTATAGGGAATGTTGAATAAAGTAACATTATTTTGTTCAGTAGAATTCAAAATTAAAGTGAAATATAGGTATAGGTATACGTATTCCTACAAAAGGAATTTTTAATATCTTTAGCCATTTCCCCGGTAGGCTCCGTCCCGTTGAGCGTGACTCACCCTGTATATATATATATATATATATATATATATATATATATATATATATATATATATATATATATATATATAGATATATGTCATTTAAAAATACTCATTGCTCATAAAACAATATACAAACAAAACATCATGGCAATTTGGCGCCCACCGCAGGGCTCTCTATTTAAAAGAATCAGTTTGGGAAGATAAGTGCTCTCATATAATTAAATTAATTTTTATCAGAAAGAAAAAAATTATAGCTTTTATTTTTAATTATATTTGAACAAGTGAAGTCTCAAAATTTCTGAAGGAAAGAAAGGTACAAGAAGCAAAAATAATGAAGATGTGGAAGTAGAAACACAAGCTGTACAAGAGGAGAGTTTAGTTCAACAAAATATGTTTAAACATACGTTATTACCATGAACACTTGGAAAACAAATTTCTTAGGATAATAGTTATATTACTTCAGAATTTCAATCAGTTTTTCACAGAAAGTTATCACCAAATATATAGGGCCCCGAAAAGTGTCCCCGACAGTGTTCCCAGGTATTTACAATTGAAGACAGGAAAAAAATTTTGTCATCGTGGTACAAACTGGATATAAATGCTAAAAACTCTTTTCTGTATAATAGTATCAAAATAATCCCCACACACCGACAAAGAACTGGAGCTTTAAAACACAAGACCGCCTCATTCCAATATAACGTAACATACGGGGCAAAACAAACTGTTACATGTAAACGAGCTTTTGTTTCGTTATACAACATTAGCATGAAGAAGGTTGACTTAATCCAAAAGCAAATAAAGATGGGTTTAGCTGCTCCTCTACCAGACAAAAGAGGAAAACACTCAAATAGACCCAATAAAATTCAAGATGATGTTGTAGCTTATATAATCCAGCATATTTCAAGTTTCCCTTCAGAATTATCTCATTATTCAAGAAACTGCAATATCCATAAGAAATATCTGTCTCCGCTTTTATCGCTTCCTATTATGCATAAACTTTATATTGATACATGTAATGCAGACAAAGTCCAAAATCGATTTAAAGTTAAAGAATGCACGTACCACAATATTTTTAACAATGAATTCAACTTATCGTTTGGTCACCCGAAAAGTGACACTTGCAATTCTGGTGCTGCAAATGAGGAACATATTGAAAATTATAAACCAGCGTTTGAGGCTCAGAATATCGACAGGGAACTAGCCAAAAATTCAGATGGTGTTGCATATATGACATTCGACCTCCAACAAACGATGCCGTTGCCTAGACTCAGTACTTCTAAAGCATTTTACCTCCGCCAAATGTGGTTATATAATTTAGGCATACATATTATAGCTAAAGAAGTTGATAAAACCATTTTTTGTACATGGACTGAAGACCAAGCATGCAGGGGTAGTAGTGAGATCGCTAGTTGTCTTTTAAGAACCATTGAAGTTGAGCTGGCACTTAAACAAAAAAATCATTTAATTATTTGGACAGATTCGTGTGCAGGGCAGAACAAAAATTTCCTAATTGTGTGTGTTTATGAGTATCTTATACAAAAAGGAATCAAATAATCGACCATAAGTTTCCTGAAGTAGGTCATTCCTACTTGGATTCAGACCGGGATTTTGGCCGAATTGAAAAAAGATTAAGGAAACATCAAACTATTTGTACTCCACAACAATACCGTGAAAGTATTGCATCTGCCAATAAAAAGAATAATATGGTTATTGACATGCAACATCATTTCAAAGACACCGAGAACCTTCTAAATAAAATGCAACTGATGAATAGAAAAAAGGATGTTCTAAATGAAAAAGTATATTTCCGTGATGGCATTAAATGGATCCGTGTAGATACCTATGGATCCTACCTCTTCAAGGAGAGTTTCGATTATGGTACTCCTTTTAAAAAAGTCAATATTTTTAAAAATTTGAAAAAGCCCTCCACACTTTCCGAAGATTTTGACATTCCAAGACTTTTCAGGAAAACCGGTGCACTATCAAAAGAGAAAATTGATAACTTAACACAACAACTTCCCTTCGTTCCAGAACAACACAGGTGGTTCTATGAGCTTATTTTGCGTGAAAATAATGAATAAACTTAAGGGGTGACAATTTTCGATATCCTTGGTGTTATTAAAATATGTATACGTATTAAAAATAAATATTATTTTGAATATCTACACAACAGTATTTTCAATTGTATGCATATAACCTGTTTTATTCTTTAGACAAAGATGAAATATACAAAATATTTGTGGAAGAACGTACACAACATCTTTTTTTTTGTCTGGTTAGCAGATATTTAAACATTTTCGCAACTTCCATATTAATTTCACCACTCATGAGAACAGTATGATTATTTAAGCATTTGAAAACCAATAACTACAAAAAAGTTCTACAATGAAAACTTTGGGGTCAAATATCTCAAAACTTACTTTTTGTTACATACCTCCTTCATCCACTCAGCCCTTCAATTTACAATTGCTAAAATTAAATTTTTAATTTTTAATTTTTTTTAGTAAAATTGCTAAATATTTTTTAATTTAATATTGGTTCATTCTTACCTAAATAATTTTCATTTTTTACCCTTGATTCTTGTAAAAAACACTTCCATATCGTCATCGCTTGTCTCTGTATCGGATTCTAAATCACTATAATCCTCGTCGTCAAATATGTTCTTAAAAATTAAAGCGGTATCTTATAATTATATCTTTACTTTCTTGAAACACAGTCACAAACTACAAATCAGATCTAGCAATATGTCAACAAACAATATCCACGTACTGCGAAAGTCAGTCCCCAGTTCCACTACGATTCTTACTTTTAGTTGAGTATCATAATTACCGTTCTGAAAACGATTCCAGAATGATTCTACTTCAGTTGGAACAAGAAACGTTATCGTACCCGGAACGATAACTAAATGGTTGGAACGCATTTTCTTTACAGCGCATACGCGTAACCATTCCGAGAACAGTAATTTGACGGGTTGGAACAAATCTAATATATGGAAGGACAAGCCTAAGAACAATGGAGCTACCCACTGACACAATTATTATGGACGATCGTTCATAAAGTCCAAACAAGTTGTGCAGTCAGCCAAGACCCACCCCGGGTTGTAGTGCTACGAGAAGAAGTAGACGATGCTATTAAAAAAAGCTTTTAGAAAATCCTTGCTCACCGGATTCTAAATTCAAATTTCCATCTTCCCAAATGCGTTAGTTTACTGACTGAAATTGGGTGGTATATTCCCCAACAATGGATGCTGTATTCTGCAAGTCTTGTGCGTTATATTCCACTGTTGTAGGAGAGCAAGAATCGAACGCAGGAAAATTAGTAAAAATTCCATTTAGAAAATGGAAGGATGCAAGAGAAGATTTTAAAAAACATTCCGAAAATCTTTATCACAAAAAGTGTTAGAGAAAGCGGCTAACTTTCTAGCAACATATAATGAAGAAAACGACAATATTTAATTAATGCTTAATAAAGGAAGAAAATTGCAAATAGAGAATCATTTAAACCTATTATTAAGACGGCTAGTTTTCTTGCTAAAATGGGGAAATCTTTTAGAGGTCACCGCGATTTTGGACCTTTCGATTTGAACGTTCCACCACAAAGAGGAGAAGGAAACTTTAGGTCTCATTTAAAATTTACAATGGATTCTGGAGATCATATTTTGGCCAGTAATTTAAAAACTGCCTGACAAAATGCGACTTACATTAGTTGGCGGATTCAAAATGAAATAATTTCTATATTTAACACCATCATTTTAGAAAATTTGGTAAAACGAGTAAATGAAGCCAAATTTTTTAGTATTCTGTGTGATGAAACCACCGACATTAGTAGTACAATTCAGCTATCATTTTGCGCTAGATTTGTAGAAAATAATAAATTTCATGAAGAACTTTTACAATTTATTCAGGTAACTGAAACCACCGAAACTCGAAAAGATTTAGGTTTGAATGGTAACAATATAGTTGGCCGAGGATATGATGAAGTCCATGATTGGTCATATAAAATGCGTACAATCTTTTGTATGAATGAAATTTCCCAAAGCTATATATGTGCATTGTTATTCTCATAGCTTTATTCTTGCGATTTCTCAAGGATCTTCTTTAATAGAAATTTGAAATTGTATGGGAACCGCAGAAGCCACTTATAATTTTTTCAACTATCCCAAGCGGCAAAATGTTTTAGAAAATAAAATTCATCAGTTAGAGCAGAAGCCGAAAGTAGAAATATTAAAAAGATTGTGTGCAACAAGATGGATTAAAAGACATGATTTAGTTCATACATTTATTTTCTTACTTCCTGTCATTATTAAAGCACTGGATGTTATTACAAACTGGAGTGATAACAAAACTGCCACTGATGCTCAGTTGCTGTCGGCTGCAATTTGCAAATGTGAGTCTTTGGAGTCTCTTTGTGGTTAACTCGATGTTTGAACTCACTTTACCGCTTAGTAAGCAGATTCAAACAAAAAATCTAAACATACGTTTGTAACGATAATATTTTGCTTACCTTTGGGACAAACAAATTGGAAATAAACTGGGAACACCTCAAGGAATTTAATATAGGGCGCCACTTGAAGGATCCTAGTTTACTGAAAGAAAAAAAAATTATTCTTCCCTAATATCTAAAATGCATAAAAAGGGTTAGGAGATTTTTCTAAATAAAAAAAAACAAAAAATTAAAAAATAGGTTAGAGAAACAAATATAACGTTTATTATTGTCTCAAACAAACAGTTTTCAAAAATACAGCTTATACCAAAGGCATACTATATAAAAAATAGTTGTCAAATATAAATAAAGAAACTTACATGTTATCTGTTTACAAAAATCTTTGAAATGGTTCCTAGTAAATAATGTGGCCAAATTGGATTATTAAAATTTTATGGATATCCTTTTATGAAAAATAAAATTTAATCTTTACTATAAAATCAAAATATCTTTTACAACAGATTCAAAATCAAACTGTCATACGTCAAAACAAACATTTTTAAGACAGGTTAAATTGTGACACTTTGCATTTAGACAAAATAATATAAAATTGATAAAACTTTAAATATTACAAATTCTTTAATGAAAGCAATTATTGTTATTTAAAAAAAAAGGTCTATTTTACTATTAACACAAAAGTTACCTTTATATTTCACTAAATTTCACTCAGCATGTCTGCGGTCGGGAACTGGCCTGGGAATCTCTGCACACGAACAAAAGGACTGCTTCAAGACATGGAGGATTGAAATGGGCGGCACTAGATACAAACTTCAAACTGGACTGGACTGGAAAAAAAAGGAAACTGGAACATCAGAATTGCTGCAGGCGACACAAATCTCTTAAATACCTTGTAAAATGTGTAGTGATTACTCTTTAATAAACTGACATATTACAGAGAATAAATTTCACTACATTTAACAAATTTTTGCAGGTATTTTTGTCAAAACTGCATAATGACCGTTGTCTTCGACCAAATCTCTCAACCTTCCTGTTTCAATACTCTTCTCAACCTCGTCGACTCCATTGTCACATGTCTGCCCTGTTTGAAATCTCTAAGTCGACTCCATTGTCACATGTCTGCCCTGTTTGAAATCTCTAAGTCGACTCCCTTTTTACGTTACATTTTACAAATTCAAAGCCAAAAATTTCCCTTCCGTCTTGCAGCTACCCTGTCCCTACAAACTTAAAACCAAAACAATATCCCTCGCTCGTATCGACAAAAAAACCTTTTAAATATTCCTTCATTGCGTTTTTCAGACTCCAGTATGGGTATCCTAAATAAACAAATATTTTTTTTGACCCTCATTCTAATAACGAAAAACAACTTTTTGTGAACTGGAACATTAGGGGGAATAGATATAGCGATACAAATTAACAAAATAGCACGTGTTTTTTTAAACCGGAGTTCTACCTGACTCTGTAACAAAAGGTGAGATTTGAAAGTACACATAGACAAAAAATATATCTAGTGTTATTTACGCATTTAAAAATTTCGTCAAAAAAAACTTGAAATATTTACAACATAATAACTTTATCGATCGTTTTCTTGGTAAAAACAACAGGGACGTACCACAGTTTAGCTGTTGAATCTGCAGGCAAAAGGAAAGAATCACTAGAACAGTTAAGACAAAACGCAGATGAAACTTTTACTAATATTTTTGGGCAAGTATCAGCTCTTTGCGATGAATTTGGTATTAATATGTCTCTTTCAAGGACAGTAATTGATCAAAAAATAGAAATAATGCACCAGCCTCCACACCAGAAGAATATTACAGAAGATATGTTTTTTCCTCTTTTTGATGAAATTATACAATCCATAAATGATAGGTTTGTTGCACACGAAGAGATTTTAAAACCATTTCAGGACTTACTAAGTGTACAGTACAATGAGACGATAGGCAAATCATGTCAAAGTCTAGTCGATTTTTATGGACTTGATAATACAAACATAAAAGGAGAAATCATGCTTTGAAAACAATTTCTAAAAGATTTTCACCTTCAGCCGACACCAAAAAGCTCTTGAAGCTCTTGATATATGTAACAAAAACGTATTCCCTCTAGTTTATAATTTACTTCTAATAATGGCGACCTTACCTGTAATAACCTGCACATGAGAAATATCATTTTCATCGCTAAAAATACTAAAGACGTATTTAAGAAATTGTAATAGCGAAGAGAGACTAATGGTGTAGCTTTGATGTTTTATCCATCAGGATATTCAAATAGATAAAGAAGAGGTATTAAACCATTTGGCTTAAAAACAACGCCATTCGGACATTTTATTATAAATTTAATTTGTTTACAGTTTATTATTTATAGTTTGATTTAAATTAATATTTTTGATTATTACAGACTACAAAAGCTCAATGGACCAAAACGCTAATCCCTGATGTGGGGGCTTGGTACAGCTGCAAGTTTAAACGAGTGAACTATTATTTTACACAATTTCTGACCAGACATGGATCTTTTAGGTCTTACACATACGCTATCAAGAAAACCATCGATGACATATCCTCTACATGCGGCGAAAGGGACGACGCTGAACATTGCATCTTCTGGTGTAATGTTTTCGCTCCCGAACAAAATAGGCTTCGTAACAGAATAGGGTTGACAATGCCCAACAACATTCTACAGGTAGCTATGACCAACAAGGAGAACTTCGAAATCATAATAGACCACATTATATTGTTCTATTGTATCAATATCTTCTTTTTCGGGATGTGTAAATGTGTTACCCAATGTTTTATGAAGGAAGGAAATCACATATTCACCGTTAATAACATCTTCAACACATCCAGTATAATGACGAACAGTTTTCTTAGTAGGGTATTTCACAATAACAAAATCACCAATATGAATATCTGCCTCTAAATCATGGTCCTCGTCATCACAAAGTGCGTTTGATTCCATGTCATCATCCGTTTTGGACTCTTCACAGCTTGATTGTCTCTTGAACCTTTTTTTGGGTAATAAATCGACACTAGGCTCATTGTGGCAACAGTGGGTCACATTTTTTTTTATCACACAGCTCTATAATTATATGAGCTATAAAAGTTAAATTTTAATGATGAAAAGGTAGCTTCCTTGGCTACACATTGGTTAAATTTTTTTTTAAACACATTTGCTGGTTTTTGAAAAAAAAAATTTATTTAAAAAAAAGTTTTTGACTCACTGTGTCCTTAGATGGGTATACAGTGGGTCAACCGCGAGGGCACAGTGGATCAGGAGGATATTGGAGTAGAACAAGATAGGAAATTTCTGATATTTTTACTCTTTATTAAAAAAATAAATGCTTATTACAAATTATAACCTCCTTAGCTTTTAAATGTAAATTAATTATGTCTCATAAATGTTAACAAAACATAAAATCAACTTAAATAGCGTTCCACATGTCAACTAGATAGATTTGAGAAAAATCAACATTAAAATAATAGTAAGACTGTTGACGTAAGGTACTTCCTCCCAGACAAGGTTTAGGCAATATAAGTTTTACATCGTTCTCGTTAACATACGATACATCAGGATTACTTGGCATGTGAAACTGATATTTGGGATTTGAACGAAGGAAGCTTACATAATATTCAAATTTATCATTACGCTCACGCAAAACTATTCCTACAAAATAAACACTTTTCCGTTTAGTTGCAAAATGAACAAGAACGTAATCTTCTTTCTTTGGAAAGCGAGGCAAGTCATTGAGCAATAACTTTTCATCGGTTAGTATTTCGATTTTATTTCCAACTTCGTCTTCCACTTCTTCGTCCCAGCAGTCGGAGTCTTCATCATGAATAGAAATAGTGTCATCAGTATCATCTTCTGATTCACTCTGCAATACTTTCCTTACAGCTTTTTTCTTTGGTTCAATTGTTTTGTTTTTCTTTGGTAATTTTTTTTTCTTGACTTCCGATCGTTGCATTCTAATATTTTCCTTTTCCGGTGTATCCGTTGCGATTATGCTCCGGCCAGGTTTTCTTTCTCTTTTGTTTGCCCTTGGCTGAGCTTTGAGGGGCTGCCTGAATTGACTGGGGCTTATAAAAGCACCTGATGATACCGGTGCATTTTTCGACTTTGAGCAGTGGGGCTTTGGTGAATGTTGCAATTGTTCATGCTCTAGCTCCAAGGGCTCTTGTTGTGAATCACGCTCAGGCTCTAAGTGGGCTTGGAGAAAAGTTGGAGAGTCTATTAATGTGTCAGGGAGTGTTTCATTTTCCAAAACCAAAGTACTGTTTTGCTCATTTTCTATGGTATCTTGCCAAGAAACGTCAAGTCTATTTTGGATGGTATTGGGATTGGGACGATTAATCATAGTACTGGGTAAAAAGTCTTCTTCGGTAAAAATGTCTCTATCGAAAGGATGGATTCCGGTCTTTTTAAAAGCTGTAGCTTTGCTGACGTATGAGGGTGTAGTGTCAATATTGTTACACCGTTTTCTTTTGCTAAATCTAAAGCTTCAATGGATACGTGTGACTCATGGTTGTCCATGATTAACAATGAAGGATTTTCTTTAGAGCTTGAGGTATGTTTAATAAAATGTTTCATTGTAGTAACAAATAGCTCGCTATTCATCCAACCAGAAGATGTAGCTAACCCTAATGATCCAGGGAGAGCACCTTTAAGCATGTGGTCCTTATAGTTTTTTTTTGGGAAAATCAGCACCGGAAGCAAAGCTTGACCACTTGCACTAATGAAGCAGCAAGTTGTTACAAGAGTGCCTTTCTCGCCGCTTGTCACTTTTCCAATATTCTTACCTTTAGGACCAATTACTTTTTGAGGTTTTTGTACCGTGGTTGTTGCCGTCTCATCCAGATTGTACACTCTAGTACCATCAGCAAATGAAGAACATCTTTTGTATACTTCTTGTAGATTAAAGAAAAAGACTACTACAGTATCCTTGTTGAACGCAGTTGCTCTAGCAAGACTGCAAGCTTCTGGT